TAAACTTTTTACACGCTTTGGAAAATCTCAGAAGTTCGCGGTAGTCACTTTTCGGTAAGGAACTAGGGGACTCGGTTATTGTATCGAGGGGGGGGTCGAAACGATCGCAAAGGCGGTATACTACGTATACGCGCCAAAAAATATTTTGCCTCCCTACCCCTCGACACAATTATCCGAGGAGGCATAAGCATTATCCGGGCATCGCAGTTTTTCAATACAACAACTTAGTGAAGGTAGTAAATCGGAATGGGGGGGGAGGGGGAGTTCCTTAAGGTCGTCATTTTTGGAACAACGTCTTCGTATGCCAGATTTTAGGGGAAAAGGAGTGATAACGATACAAAAAAGTAAACTGAATGAAAATTTGACGCTAGATACCATCATAGTGACAAAAGCATACAACGCTTGCATTTAACAAAATTATTGCTTAGAGCCACAGCAGAGCGCGAGAGAGAAAAAAACACCAATTTTTCAACTTTACATTTAAAATCGATGAAGTGTCGGAGGTATTTGATTAATTTGCAAAACGTCATGGTCATGCACTTACCTGCGGAGCGATTATTGAAACTGATGGACAAAGCGATAGACAAAGAAGACATAGAGAGTATGGAGCGATCTTATTGGTTGACATGGTTGGTTCTTATAGACTAAGGAAGAAAATGATGGACTAACTGTCGGGTCTTTAGTGGGTTGCCGTTAGTTAGTCCATTACCTACCTCCTATGTCCATTGCCACCACCTGCTTCCACCAATAGGATCCCTCCGAATCCCTTTTGTCGTCTTTGCCTATGGCTTTGTCTATCAGTTTCAATAATCGACCCACAAATACTCATAGCGCGGATTGCACGATATCTCTTCAACAGCTAATCACAGCGCTGAGCAGTCTGACAACTTTAACATCGTAAAATTTTAAAACCAAACCAGGTTAGGCTGAGAGATGGCCCATCAGGATATGATGTAAGTCAGCAGTCATACTTTGGGGTTGACATTCTGAACCTCATTGTCAGCAAAAGCTCTCATCTATGCAGCTCTTAAACTTTGGTATTTATTCCGTCGACCAGGAAGAAGTTTCCCGCATGAGCATAAATGTCAAATCCATATTTTTCAGCAAATCTGAGAGTTGAAAAGTGGGCTCGCTCGTGGAAAATGACTCTGGAAATTAAAGAAATGCGCTGAGTTTTGAGGAATGTAATTTAGCCCACGCCAAATAAGTTCATGATAGTGCGGAAGAAGATCAGCTGTCTTCAGTTAGGCATTAAAAATAAATGTGAAAATCAAGACAGTTCTGTTGCACTCTAAAGGTGCCTAAGGTGAGATATGACATTAATCATATGCGGATAGTATCAAAAAATAATCAACTCAAATTACAGCGTTTTCTCTACATTTTTTATCGCGAAAAAAAGGGGTTTATTGGGGAGAGTTGTAAAGTAACTGCTCCATTGAATCACGAGAGATTGTCATTTCAAGCATGGTCATAACTACCAACATTGGGTACATCTTTATCTATTAAAAATCGGCATTTGTTCCAAACTTCACGCCTAGACTGATAAACGAAACGGAACGGAGCGTTTCGTCGCTTTTGGATATAGTCTGTAGCAAAGGAGCATGCATACCTTCGATTCACTTACCCCACTAACAGACCAAGATTCAATATTGGTTTAAATTTTGCCCCCCTTCCTAAGCTGTCTGGTCTACTTTTATATAAACAAGTGTGGATCCTGTTTTCAAATTCTGATCACAGCGAGCTCAGTTAGGGACTATCATCTGTCGATAATCGCAAAAATCATGGAAATCGGCCCAGTAGAATGCTCAAACGAGCTGTGGTAAAACATCGAAAAATTTACATTGTTTAAATGGGAGAATTCGCAACTTTACCACGTAATATAAAAAACCTGGGTCATAATTTCAAAATCTGAATAAAGCGAGCTCATTTAGAGACAATTGCCTGTCGATAATTGCAAAAATCATGGAAATCGGCCCTGTAAAGAGTGCTGGAACTAAGCGTTACCAAATATGCAAATTTAAGAGGTCTTGGAGCTCATTAAAGAAAGAAGATTAAAGAGCAAGGCAGATCTTTTAGCGCCAAAATAATTCAAAAAATAAATTCATTCATCATTGAATTTCCTACAGAGGAGTGATGGTGAAATTAAAAAGAATTACTCACTGCCGTTTTTTTATCTCCTCAAATTGAATGCACTTGTCTATTACTGGCTGCTTATACACAAGTAACAAAAACCTCCGGGGCTCTGCAAAGTAAAGAAAAATCATAATTAAATTAAAAGTATTTGAAATAAAGTCCTTAAAAAATGTCTACAATGTACACTTTCCTAAAAAAAAAAAACAAAAAAAAACTTAACTGAGAGAATAAGATTACGATCAAAATTAAATTCTGCAAATAAAATTCGGGAATTGGAATGATGAAACTTTTTAGAGCAATTACGCTGAGCATTCAAGGTGGAACCGAAATTAAGTAGAGGTTAACATAAGTGTCAGGTAACCTTTTCAATTTAAATTAATTCTTTAGAACTGATTCTCTTCTAAATTAGTATATTCTACTATTACAACCTACTTTTAAAATGTGAACGTTGTGAAATGGAAATGTCTGTTCTAGTAATGCACTATTTTCTCATATGGGAAAAAGTAAATAGTCGAAACTTTAAAAATGGATACTTGGTAAATGCTCGATAGACTGATTTGTCAACTTACCTATCTGCACGAATATTTTAAGTTGTAATTTTTTTTTGTATCCAATCAATGTATCGAGATCTTGACTTTGTCCACTTACGTACACTTAACTAAGTTGCAAATAGAAACTTTTATCTCTTCAGGCAGTTATACATAAAGTACAATATTCTTTCGAAACTCACTTGGCTCAAAACACATCGAGGGCCCGCAGTAAGCATCAATCACATCTCCATAATGTACGTCATTCTCTGGAATGTTTCCCACTCGCCAATAAATCCATTCTCGGTGAGCAGGGTTTTCTCTCGTTGGGAAATCAGGACCTTAAATTAGGAAAATAAATTCATGTTGGACATCAGTAACCTATACGATAAAAAATTTATGTCATGTAAGTATCTGATAATATCATTTAAAAGAGGAAAAAACAGTATGAAGAGGAAAAATTACCAGTCATTATGAGAGTGTACAAAACTCCCCTTTCCGTAGGCCAACTTAGTTGCGGTGGTTCCCTCAACTTTTCTGCCAGCATTTTTGTTCCGAGGAAAATGTTCTTCCAGCCCCATTTAACCTTTAAAAATAAAGCATCAGTTGTAAATTTTGTATCAAAAAGAAGAAAGACCTGTATTTAAGTTGGTTTCAAAGATTGATCAAATAGGCAAAGCACATTTTGATCACTAAAATAGTGATCAAAAAAAGTGGATGACTACTACCACCTACCTTTTACTGTAGCTTAAAAAACACAACTGCGAATAAAGTTGAATACTTATAGTACAACGTTGCGAGTCCCATTGAATGTCCAAGGTCATTTTTTGTTTGCTTGTCAGATCTAAAAAATTTAGAAAGTTATAGAATTGCACTGGTAATGTTGAATTTCTTGTTAGCTCAATAGGTACTGAAATCTGTAATCTGGCAAACTGAATTCCCCAGTTAAAATAAGAAAAAATATCCTTGCCACTGACAAGGAAGTTTTTAGTTTCCTTTATGACAAGTTGCCGGCCAAAAATTATAAAATTTATAAAATTATAAAATATATAAAATTATAAAATTTATAAAATTATAAATCGATGGCTAACAAACAATACCTACAAACTGACGATTTTACAGAATAAAGAAAAAACTTCGCCACCTTCTAAGTTCAAGGTTAGATTTGTAATTTTTTCATACGGGCCAGCATCATTGAAGCGCGTCCCTGCAGCATTGGAAAAAAACTAAGATAATCGGCTTGCGTAGTTTATATTGTAGAATGTGGTAAAATTGATAACTTTTTTCTGTCAAAATTGTCAGTTAGGCGTTATTGCTCGTTAGCCCTCGATATGCCTCTCCATGAAAGCATGTCACTACGTCAAGACAACTACCACTCTTGTAAATGGAAACAAGAAAAAACTAACGGGAAAAAAAGTCGGTGTTAGTAGCCACTTTCTTAATGCATAGACTGTTTTATGATTAGTACAGTAATCTCTCTCTGTAACGATTACCGTTAAAAGAGCACCCCTCTATAGCGAGGAAATCAGTCGGTCCCTTGAACTTTTTACATTAAATACTTGTATTTTCCTTCCCACGTAATAAGCGTGGCAATGGAGCAACTCTCTCTGTAGCGCCCAGAAGCCAAACTGGCTCATAGGTCAAAGTACAGGCTCATAGGAATCTGCCTTTTCAAATGCGTAAATAATGAAGACTGCGTTGTTTACGAGTTTCCAGCAGCTGACTTTGTTTTAACAAGAATTGCGAGCATGGTGGCATGGCGATAAGCGCTCGTAAATAAACAGAGGAAAATTACTCCAAATGCATTCAATTTTTCTTCATCATTTTAAATGACAGGCATCCATACAAGTGTACAAAAACTCAATGGCAAGTAACAAGGTTTTTTTTCTGCTGGCTGTATGGCTTTGTGGCTAGCACCTTCAGCCAACTTTAGACTATGTTTTATTGTCTGTAGACATCAAGGAATTTAGGCACATCCATGCTCCAGGCTTTTCCAATTTTCAGGGACTAGGGCTGAGTAGAATCTGTTTCAGCAAATCTACTCATCAATTCCGTGGAAATTACACGCCATCACCGGGATTCGAATCCGGAACCTATTGACCTACAGTCAGACGCGCTGACCACTAGGCTAACCTGACCCGCTAAGTAACAAGTTGACAGACGCTGACTCTCCCAGTTAATCGAATCGCTCCAAACAGCGTGGTCGGCGAAAGGTATGTTAGCGCCTACAAAACTGTTAGAATACTTCACGCATTGCGCGTCCGGTACGTTGCACGCTTTGATCGATAAAAATTCTAATTTCACGGTGTATGCCGGACCGACCGCGACCGCGGTGTACACCATTCTCGACCAGTGCACACCAAGAGTTTGCCCTCCTCAGTAGTCCTTAGGACCGAAATATCGTAGAGATTTCGCACCCCTGAATGGTGCCTAAGTCTACTGAGTCATTAATGTCGGAGTTCGGAGTTCGGAGTTTTCTGATCGACTATCGTTTTAACGAGAACCAGGAACTTCTCTGTAATGAGGAAATCGGACGGTCCTTTGAGTTCTTTTTATAGAGAGAAGTTACTGCTGAATACTTTTTAAGACAGATTTTCCACATTTTATCTCCTTCATTATCTTTTTACTTTGCGCTGCGACACAGTTTAAGACGGCTAAAAAACCTTTTTTCCGGTTATAATGATTCGCATTTGTCTCTTCGTAAACTTTTCATATTCATAGGATATTTTTCTTGTTTTATTGGAAGTGCCAATAAATTAATTGATTCTCACTTTCTGATTAAAACTGATGCTTTCAGAAATCGTGAAATTGTCAAGCAAAATACGATCATCACAACAAAGCTAAATCCGTTTGCAGTGTGATTCCAACCATAAATACACGCTACAAATTGCTGCAAAAGTGAGCCATATGTATTAAGACACCCTGTAAAAGTATTTGACATACCTTTAAAATATTTTTGGGCGCAAGAAATATAACATCCTGGATTAGTCCGTGAGTGAGAAATTTTTCCCGGTATTTGTACGGCAAACCTCCGCTGTCATCAAAGTCCGTGACATTATGTCGCAGTTCAAAAACTTTTGTATCAGATTCGGGATGAACTTCAAATTCAACACCAATAGCAGCATTACATTTCAAAAATACGAATACGTTCAAAACTAAAAAAAATATGTCCAGATTCATTCTCTCTGACGTCAGACACTAACATTACCGTCCAAAAGAAACGCAATAAGTTAGATTTACAGGTGGAAGTAGAAAAGCGAAAGCATAATTATCCAAAGAGATAGCAGAGAACAGAATCGTATCTGAGGATCAAGTTAAATTTAACTGTACATAAAATTTACCCAATGATGTAGCTATAGAGTGTTTTATAGGATATTCTGGTCAGGTTACGCGTAAGTAGCAAACTAGCAAAGATGTTTTATTACAAGCCACCCGATGATTCGATATCTAAAAAATTTCAGAACGGTTTGTGACTTTGTTGAATTATTTCATTATCCTAATTTATATTGTATTATTTCATATTTGTTTTATTAATGATAAAATTATAAAAATAACAGTTTTAAATTGAAAAATTACTGCAATTATTTTAATAAAATTTGGCTTGATACCTCTTTGTCTGAAGAAACTGATTCTCCATAAGCATAATTAAAATACGATTAGTTGGTTTCCTTTTGAAGAAATGAACTAGGGGTTTCTTTTAAACACTGCAATCCATAAACAAGATCTTTTCCACTTTCACTGTCTAGCTGTCATATTTCTTCTTCATAAATAATTATAAATCTTAAAAGCTCGTAACTTTTACACATTTCAGCTTAAGTATCGATCTACATGTTGTCATAAAATCATTGATATCTCGGGTGAAAAGTTTGTGCAATGCTTCCAACTTCACAAAAGTAGTTCGTATTCACCTCATCTTTTTTGTTGCAAGCAATGTTCCACAACACTTTATACATCTTTTATTTTGTTTCAAATTAGAATATATAAATATTTTACTCACAGTAAGTGATGCTCTATAATTATACGGTGAGATTAAGCTGTCTCTCACATGTTCTTTATAGATTGGACTTCCGAGAGGGACTCTTTATCTGATTCTGTAGCGGAAGAGTTAAGTTAATCATTTCATGGGCAACGAATTATGTAATCATTAATTCTGGCAGTGTTAATTAAAATGATGTTCTATTATCATATGGTCTAAATATGTCTAACTACTATAATTACATGATTTGCGAATGAAATATTTCTCATTTTGCGTCTAGACGAACAAATGTATTTTTTCTTTTTTTTCGCATATCTTGCGTAATTTCATTTTGAAGTATATGCAGACGTAATAAAGGTGAATGGGCCATTGCAATCAATTTATTAAGCATAGACTTAGTCTAGACAGAGTAATCACGGAAGGAGACAACATGAGTAATAAAAAAGAGAGGTTTTATCATCCCATGACCCATTTGATGATTGGTATTTTACCTTGATAGTGACAAAACTATCATTTCCAGTATTTTAAAATTAGAGTTTTTTTTCTTGTCGTGAATGATAAGATCGTCTAGATTGCAGTCTACAGTCCTTCAATTACTTCTAATATGGCGTCAATGCATCAAAAACAAATATTGATTCTCCACACAAAATTCACTCTAATAGTTCACTCAAATCAAAGTAAAGGTGACTGTGAATGAGCTATACCCATTTTTAAACATGTTCAGCGTGCACGAAAGTATGAAAGTATGACTCTGACAACTATCCTATACTTATACTTATCATTGCATATATCTTCTACTATTGTAAATATTTACGAGGTGATTACGACCAAGCCTGATTCAACAATTATTGGGATTGAACGCAAAGGAAATGAATTACATATTTATTATTTTTTTCCCTCAATTTTAATTGTGGACAAAAGATTCAGGAATAATACGAGAACCCTCGTTGAGAATAATTATATTTCCAACTTACTGAATATTTTGAGGATAAATCGACTGGAGATTAGAGCTCATTACACAGATTAAAGGTTTTCAAACTCAATCATGTCTTTGTCTCTGTAATGCGTAGATTCTAAGTCTTTTTCGTAGGTTTCATCAAAAAGAAATTCAACGCAACCAGCTTCGTAAAATTATGCTTCTTGGCAAATTCTCTTGTGTTAAAATGCGCACGTTCTTTAGAAATCGTTCTGAAAATAAAAATAAATCCGTTTTAAAATAAATGCATAAAAATCAGTTTAATTACTCAACAAAACCTGTAAAATTGTGGATAGTTTATGATTTTCTGATTCGCGCATATCTCTCATAATATCGATATTTTATGTCGTTATATCATGCTAGTTAGTCGATGCCTGAAGCAGTTATCCTTTGACTTTTACCGTACGAAAAGTAAAAATTATTTCCATAAAATTAAAAGCTAAATAAATATATAAATAAATTAATTTGTACCTGAGCGACATTGGGAACATACGACCAATGGGCTGAAAAAGACCGAGATCAAATTGTCCCGGAGGTATGCGACGGGTCCTGCGGAAAAACCGCATCAGGTACTAATTTTGAGAAATAAAAATTTGTTTGTAAAATGATTTTTTTTTAAACTTGTGTGTATAAAGGTACAATAACTCACATGAGACTAAAAGACGACCCGCAAATCTGAATTATTCTCTTTTTTAAGCAAACAAATATTTTACTTAGATTCTAATCACTGAACATAGAATTTAGCAATAATTTTCAAAATCAAATCGAAATATGCAAAGGAAAAATGAAGGCTTTAATATAGATAATTGCTTTGACTTTTGAAATTCGAATCATGTCTTTTGGAAAAAATTTACGACGCCATACGAGTATTTAGATACTTACTCTTTTTTTATGTAAGGTTCATTGAAATTTACAGCTCGTGGCGCTGATTGTAAGAACACCATAAAGATCATTCTGTGCGGCTCTGAGAAATCAAAATGAAAAATTAAATGTAAGTAGAAGAACAGAAATCTGTTAATTTTTCTTTTCGCAGTTTTTCCCAAAGCAATAAACGTGTGCTGTATCTCTGAAACTTGTTTTTTTCTTTCTTAAGAGAAAAGAAAGATTTTTCTTGCGTATTTGACTTGCGAGATAATCTTCGTGCGTTTCAAAACATGTTTCTGGAGAAAATTTTCTTGAGGTGCTTATTGCTTTTGTAAACAATCCTATATTTCTACGATACCAATCCGATATCTGATTCGTAACAACTAATATCAATTTAAACGCCTTAAATAACTTTGAATCCTAACAGAGTGATCTCAAAGTTAAGACAGTTACATTGCAAAATGTATACCATTCTCGACCACTTCTCTCTCATTTTTCCTATGGTGTTCCTTTTTTAAATTATTTTGCAATCCTATCGCTTTACACAATTGGTTTCCTTGAAGATTTGAAAAGTAAGTACTTTAGCGCATCTTTTGTAACACTTCTTCGATGTAAATGTTCATACTATAGATATTCTGAAAGTCGCATAGTGTGTAAACTCATTTATAAGACCTTAATTATTCAGAGGACCACAATTTTGTAAAAAATAATGAACTAGATAGCGGCCGGGGTGTTATGGTAAAAATCTACACACCTGTGCTGATAGTGAACTCGGTTAATTGGGCGCTATGATACAATTTTTATGCAAAAATGTGTCGCGTCCTTGAAGATGACTGAAGTTGTCGAAACTCGCCGGATTAACAAACCCTCGGACTAGTGAGTTTTAAATTTTAAATTTCAGTCTTTAACTAGTCTGGTACTTTTCAAAAGTTTTTAAATTTGAATTTTTAGTCAGCTCCTTACTTTTTTATCCAAAACCTCTAAACTGAAATAAATGTCCGAGAGCTTTTAAAGTAGTAGCATCGCTCCTATTTGATTCTTTTCAAGAAGGAAACATGAACATTATTTCTCGAAATGTTTACAGAATTTTCTCCACACAGAGTGGGTGGAATATTGCTGGTTTTCCGTCAAATATTTAGTTTTGGAAAAAATCCGATTTGACACCTTTTTAAAATGGCTCATATGTGGCTCATAAAAGCAACCGTCAGTTACTTCTCTGCTATATTGTTAACATTTGTTGTGAGGTTTGAAATTTGAAATTTGAAAATTAGATATGCAGTTCAAATGCATTCTTTTCCCGTCAAGGAATCCCACAAAAAAATAAAAGATAGAGGGAATTTGATGCTGGACATGAGCTTTGTGGATATGAGCAGTAGATAATAATGACAAAGTACCGTTCCAAGCGCGCGACGCTATGTTAAATGGAGTCCTTTGGGACCAAAGGATCTCCAAAGAGAACAAAAGAAGGATCTACAACGCGATTGTCAAGAGCATAGTAACCTACGGGTGTGAAGTATGGCCGATGAAACAGCGGACCCGGGAGGTTTTAGAGACAACAGAGATGGACTTCTGGCGTAGATCCGCTGGTATTTCCAGAAAGGATCGCGTCAGGAATGAGACGGTACGGGAGATCGTGAATGCCAAGCAGACCATCGTGCATGGCATTATGACAAAACAACTCATTTGGTATGGTCATGTCCAGAGAATGGCAGGAGACAGGTTGCCGAAGAAGGTCCTTGACTGGGTTCCTCCTGGGAGAAGACGCAGAGGGCGCCCAATGAAAGGTTGGAGGG